CTCTGTCGCCCAGGCTAGAGTGCAATGGCACGATCTCGGCTCAGCTCACTGCAACCTCCGCCTTCTGGGTCAAGCCATTCTCCTGCCTCAGCCTCCCGAGTAGCTGGGATTACAGGCGCCTGCCACCACGCCTGGCTAATTTTTGGTATTTTTTAGCAGAGACGGGGTTTCACCATGTTAGCCAAGATGGTCTCGATCTCCTGACCTCGTGATCTGCCCACTTCGGCCTCCCAAAGTGATGGGATTACAGGAGTGAGCCACCACACCCGGCCAGAGCCCAGTGCTAATATTCTTAACATGTCCTTCCTACCTCTCGCTTGGACAGGGACACAGAAGGAATGTTGGCATTTTCCATCTTATCCAGGGAGCGAACAATTTCCTCCAGAGTCTTCCGGTAAAGCTCGTCATTTACGACCCTCACCTGAAAGGGAAACATCAGAGACTGAGTACCTTGGCTTCTGCCCATTTCCTCTTTCTCAGTATAGAGGGCATTCACAGCACTGGGAAATAGCAGTTGATAGCAACACAGAAAACAAAGGCTATAGATTTAATTAATTAATGAACTCCATTAACAATTGACTTAGAAGGATCTACCAGAGGTAAAGCTTGTGGTACAGGCATCTGCTTCCTGATTACCAGAAAAAAGATGTGGAAGTGAAAGCATGGTTAGCAGTTAGTTCTGCCAGGTCTTAGGCCCAGGGCAGAAAAATGTTTGCCCAGTACCTAGCCCTCTTTTGCTTGCTGCCACCAACAGGCCAGCAGTGAGAACCTTTTCTAGGGCTTTGATTTAAAGCAGTGTTTCTTAAGCTTTGTTTGTTTGTTTGTTTTTGCAACAAGGTCTTGCTGTCACCCAAGCTGGAATGCAGTAGAGTGATCTTGGCTCACTGCAACCTCCGCCTTCTGGGTTCAAGTGATCCTCCTACCTCAGCCCCTCAAGTAGCTGGGACCACAGACACAAGCCATCATGCTCAGCTAATTTTTTCATTTTTTGTAGAGATGAGGGGTTTTGCCATGTTGCCCAGGCTGGTCTTAAACTCCTGAGCTCAAGCAATCCACCCACTTCAACCTCCCAAAGTGCTGCTATTACAGGTGTGAGTCATTGTAATGATAATAAAGTATCACTGTAAATAGATAATAAATAAATGAGAAGGCCGGTGTGGTGGCTCAGGCCTGTAATCCCAGCACTTGGAGGGCCAAGGCAGAAGGATCACCTGAGCCCATGAGTCACTTGAGACCAGTCTGGGCAAGATAGCAAGATGCTGTCTCTTAAAAAAAAAAAAAAGGCCCAGCGCAGTGGCTCAGGCCTGTAATCCCAGCACTTTGGGAGGCCGAAGTGGGCAGATCATGAAGTCAGGAGACAGAGACCATCCTGGCTAACACAGTGAAACCCCATCTCTACCAAAAATACAAAAACTTAGCCGGGCATGGTGGCAGGCTCCTGTAGTCCCAGCTACTCGGGAGGCTGAGGCAGGAGAATGGCGTGAACCTGGGAGGCAGTGAGCCTGCAGTGAGCCAAGATCACGCCACTGCACTCCAACCTGGGCGACAGAGCAAGACTCCATCTCGAAAACAAAAAACAAACGGGCCGGGCGTGGTGGCTCATGCCTATAATCACAGCACTTTGGGAGGCCGTGTCAGGTGGATCACGAGGTCAGGAAATCGAATACCATCTCTACTAAAAATACAAAAAAATAGCCAGACGTGGTGCAATGTGCCTGTAATCCCAGCTACTTGGGAGGCTGGGGCAAGAGAATCACTTGAACCTGGGAGGAGGAGATTGCAGTGAGCCAAAATCGTGCCACTGCACTCCAGCCTGGGCGACAGAGCAAGACTCCATCTCAAAAAAAATAAAAAATAAAAAAATAAAAAGGAAAGGAAGAAAAAGATGTCGCCCTCATAGGTAATCAGGGAAATGTAATCTAACATAATAAAATATCTGCTTATTGGGTTGGCAAAAATTTTGAAGATTGATAAAACTCAATATTGGCAAGGGTATGGGAAAATAAACTCATACATGGTTGGCAGAAGTATAAAGTGGTAAAATGTTGTGAGGATAATTTAGCAAGATCTAATAAATTTAAAATACATTTTTTATCTAAACCGCTAATTTCATCTCTAATAATTTCATTCTATAGAAATACACTGATACACAAAGACACATGTGAAGGGTGGTCACAACAGCACTGTGTATAATAGCAAAATTTGGAAATAACTTTATGACCATCAATACATACATTATGGCTCATCCATACTATGGAATACTTTGAAACCTTAAAAATAATGAGAAGGATGCTCTACCTTCACTGTCATGGAAAGATCTCCTAAGACATATTCAGTTGGGGGAAAAAAGATGTCCTCAGAGCAAAATGTATAATATGATCTCTTTTACAAAAAAGGAAAAATATTCTCAATGTTGTATACAGAATACTGACACACCCATTTATAAACATGTAGAGAAAGGTCTGCAAAAAGACAGTTCAAAAATGCAAAAGGGAACTTCCATGTATGAGGAAAACTACAGAGGCATACTAAAATAAACTTGGTTAAGTTGTTAATAACTGTTTTAAATTGCCCTAAAAAGGGCTTCCTCCCATTCAAAAGGAGAGGAAGAAACTAGAAAGACAAGAAATGGTCTTAGTTGTGAAAGCCAATTCCCTCCAGAACGATTACAATAGATACCAGCTGCCACCTACCCCAATGTTAAACACTGAGCTGACAGGCTTGTGGTCACTGGTCTTCAGGGCCATGTGGCTCTGGTAACTCAGCTGAGTGATGTTCTTCCCTTTCCAGAGGATCCGGTCACACCAGGCGGGAGCACGGCACTTCTCACTGAAATGCAAAGTCCACACTGGAAGTACTCACAGAAACAGCAGTGCCCGCTGCCTGGCAAGTGCCCTGGCTTAGGTGGGGAGTGATGAATCAGGGCCTTCATGACCACATGGCTAAGTCATCTGAGGCAGCAAGAGCAATTCAGGCCCACCAAGGGATAACATGTATCCTATGAGTATCATCCAAAATAACTATGAAAGCTCAAAGCCAAAACAGAGTTCAGACTGATTTTCTGATCTTTATCCTCCTATGAGAATCAGGAGGGAATAAAAAAACCAATCTGACAGTAAGCACTCTACTGTCTTTTTTATTTATTTATTTATTTTTAATTTTTCTTTTATAGAGATGGAGTCTTGCTCTGTCGCCCAGGCTGGAGTGCAGTGGCACGTCCTCGGCTCACTGCAACCTCTGCCTCCCAGGTTCAAGCAATTCTCCTACCTCAGCCTCCCAAGTAGCTGGGACTTCAGGTGTCCTCCGCCACGACTGGCTAATTTTTTGTATTTTAGTAGAGGTGGGGTTTCGCCATGTTGCCCAGGCTGGTCTGGAACTCCTAAGCTCAGGCAATCTGCCTACCTCGGGCTCCCAAAGTGCTGGGATTACAGGCGTGAGCCACCGCACCCAGCCTATGGTCTTTAAAAGATCCTGGTTAACGCCAGACGCAGTGGCTCATGCCTGTAATCCCAGCACGTTGGGAGGCCAAGGCGGGGGGATCACGAGATCAGGAGGTCATGAGGTCAAGAGATTGAGACCGTCCTGGCCAACATGGTGAAACCCTGTCTCCACTAAAAATACAAAAATTAGCTGGGTGTGGTGGTGTGTGCCTGTAGTCCCAGCTACTCGGGAGGCTAAGGCAGGAGAATCGCTTGAACCCAGGAGGCGGAGGTTGCAGTGAGCCGAGATTGTGCCACTGCACTCCAGCCTGGCGACAGAGCAAGACCCCGTCTCAAAAAAAAAAAAGAAAGATGCTTTTTAAGCTAGTTAAGAGAACAGGCTCGAATTCCCACTGCCTGGGTTCAAATCCTACTTGTACCCCTTGTCTGCCTGGGGGCCTCTTTAATTTTTCTATGCTTCAGTTTCCAATCTCATAAAATGAGGTTAATAAATCATACCTACTTCAACAGGTTCTTGAGGATTAAATGAGAAAATAAGTACATCAAATAGTACATGGCACATGGTAAGCACTAATAAAAAATATTAACTGCTGACTTTGGGAGGCTTGAGGTCAGGAGTTCAAGACCAGCTTGGCCAACATGGCGAAACCCCGTCTCTACAAAAATACAAAAATTAGCCGGGCCTGGTGACACATGCCTGTAATCCCAGCTACTTGGGAGGATGAGGCAGGAGAATCGCTTGAACTCGGGAGGCAGGGGTTGCAGTGGGCCAAGATCCAGCCATTGTACCCTAGCCTGGGTGACAGAGGAGACTCCATCTCAAAACAAACAAACAAAAATATTAACTACTGTGTAATGTCCAAGTACCAGCTAAGTTAGTTGGAGTCATCTCATGCTAGGCATAGCTGAAAAGTAAATCAGTATTAAAAATTATTATGAAACAAAAGGCTAAGGCAGTCACAAAGTTAATACATGGGAAAGAAGGCTGCCTCATGAGCAGATACTGAGAGAAAATCTTTGACCAGAGTACAAAACATGGGGAAAAAGTCACAGGAAGCGTTTATTCTTCCTTAGGTCCAAAAGGGCAAGTGCTTCCCAGAATTTCTGGGTTTCCGTTTGCTCAACCCTTTGAAGCAACCTCTGACCTACCTGGTATCCCAGTCGTCAGAGCCCGTATCATACTTGTAAGTAGGCTGGAATGTGAGCTCACCCTCTGTGAAGCCTTCAAAGACAGTCTTTGCGGCCACTTGAATTTTCAGCTATACACAAGGATTGGAGAAAAAACAAATCTCAGAATAAAAAGGTCAAACTCTGAATTAGTGGAGAAAAGGAAATCAATCTGGAATTCAAACTCTAACCCAAAGGAAAAAGCACCAAAAGAAAGTTATTCTGTAAGATTTTTTTTTTTTTTTTTTGAGACACGGAGTCTTGCTCTGTCGCCCAGGCTGCAGTGCAGTGGCCGGATCTCGGCTCATTGCAAACTCCACCTCCTGGGTTCACACCATTCTCCTGCCTCAGCCTCTCAAGTAGCTGGGACTACAGGCACCCGCCACCACGCCCGGCTAGTTTTTTTTTTTTTTGTATTTTTTAGTAGAGACGAGGTTTCACCATGTTAGCCAAGATGGTCTTGATCTCCTGACCTCGTGATCCGCCCGTCTCAGCCTCCCAAAGTGCTGGGATTACAGGCGTGAGCCACCGCGCCCGGCCTTCTATAAGATCTTAAGTTAGCTAACTCCTAGGAAGTGAACAAGCTGAACACTCCTTTGCCTGTATATGGTTTTTATTTTTTATGTTTTTAATGTTTTTTATTTTTATTTATTTATTTTGAGACAGAGTCTCGCTCTGTGACCTAGGCTGGAGTGCAATGGCGCGATCTCAGCTCACCGCAACCTCCGCCTCCCAGGTTAAAGTGATTCTCCTGCCTCAGGCTCCTGAGTAGCTGGGATTACAGGCATACGCCATCATGCCCAGCTAACTTTTGTATTTTTAGTAGAGACAGGGTTTCACCATGTTGGCCAGACTGGTCTCGAACTCCTGACATGATCCGCCCACCTCGGCCTCCCAAAGTGCTGGGATTACAGGCATGAGCCACTGTGCCCGGCCTAATCTTTTTTATTTTGTAGAGTCTCACTCTGTCACCCAGGTTGGAGTGCCATGGTGTGCCCATAGCTCACTACAGCCTCCATCTCCTGAGTTCAGGCAATCCTCCTGCCTTAGCCTCCCAAGTAGCTGGGACTGCAACTGTGCACCACCACACAGCTATATTTAAAAATTTTTTAGAGACAGGGTCTCACTATGTTGCCTAGCCTGGTCTCAAACTCTTGGCCTCAAGTGATCCTCCCACCATGGCCTCCCAAAGTATTGGAATTGCACGTGCAAGCCATTGTGTCTGGCTAAGGCTCTTTCATAAGAGCATAGCTACACCCAAAGGGCCTGAGTATCATCTTACTGAGATATCTTTAAGATGATTAGGTACCACTTAACAAACTAATAGTTTTTCTCTTCCAGGTATCAAACACTTCATCTGTATAGCACAGTTGCTGCAAATATACACAAAGATAGAACCGCATTGTCAAATTAGTTATGTGAACTGGGGGAAGCTCTGTGCCTTGGTTTCTCCATTTGTAAATTTTGGATTTATAATAGAATCTACCTCATAGGGTCTTTAGAAAGATTCACTGTCAACTTAAACAGTGCCTGACACATTAGGAAAACAGCTAGCATCCTTCCTATTAATTTTAGGAGCGCCTTCCAGATCACACTCTCAGCAAGACCAAAACCACAGGTGCTCTTCCCTCTTCCCTGGAGCACCACACTTGGCACTGCATGGACTGGTGAAGAACTGTCAGCTCTACCATTGCACACGATCAGCTATTTAGTAGATACTACTTGCCAAATTCCTGAAAAAAACTATTTAAAAAGCAACAGAAAATAGTAAAAATGTAGGTATGAATGTAAACTGATGCTTACGTATAGACCTTAAAACCATGTAGTGGGCAGATAACACACAAAATGGGTACTATTACTTCAGGAAAGACCAGAAAAGAAGGCAAGTAGAGATAGGTATCAAACTACAAGGGAAATTAGAATGCCTCACACCAGAACACAGAGGAGATAAACAGACAAAGACATAACTAAGTTGAGATTCTTTTTCTTTAATTAATCTGCACTGGGGAAAGTAAGATAATAGAGGCCAGGCACGGTGGCTCACGCCTGTAATCCCAGCACTTTGGGAGGCCGAGGTGGGTGGATCATGAGGTCAGGAGTTCGAGACCAGCCTGGCCAGCATGGTGAAACCCTGTCTCTACTAAAAATATAAAAAGTTAGCCAGGCATACTGGCACGTGCCTATAGTCCCAACTACTTGAGAGGCTGAGGCAGGAGAATTCCTTGAACCCAACAGGCAGAGGTTGCAACAAGCTGAGGTCACGACACTGCACTACAGCCTGGGTGCCAGAGCGAGACTCTGTCTCAAAAAAAAAAAAAAAAAAAAAAAGATAATAGAAAGATTTAGATTAATGACAATACCAAGGTTACTAAAAGGGAGGATACAGAATAACAACAACAAAAAAGGACTTTAACATTCTGAACAACATGACCACCTGAACAGGTCTGAAATCTACTGAGAGAAGTAGCCAGAAAAAAGTCACAAAGAAAGAGATTCTCTTGTACTGTGAAACAGCGAGTGCTCTGAGAAGGAAATGCTATGTCAAGCAATGATGGAGAACAGCAGGTTACAGAACTGATTCCTATAGGAAGTGAGGAAAGCCATTTAGGAAGAGCTGTCACACACTGGAGAAGTCTGGTGAGGAGAAGCACAGAGGAGAAGGAGACTCATTCTAAAAACAATTATTACATCATCTTAAATATACCAAGTCCTTTCTTTACAGAAGCTTGGTACTCTTTTAGCCCTAACTTCAGACCTCTTGAATAAATGAATGAGAAGATGAGACAGAGAACACGCTCTTGCTCCCAAAGGAGACAAGGTGCTTCAGGAGAGAGCCAATGGGAGACAATTATGGAAGAGGGAAATGCAGATGAAATGAAGAAATGACTGGACAACATCAGGAACTCAGGGAAACCTCCCAAGCCAAAGAAGAAGAGGCTGGGAGTCTGGAAGCCAGGCTTTTCTATGCCCTCACGGTAGAGGACAGCCGCTGGAAGGGGGCACAGGTGGCCATCTGTACCTGATCATATGCATACAGGGTCTGAAAGTCCTTCTCTTCGATGAGCTTTTTCACTTTTTCCACATCCAGCTCTTCTATCCTGTAGTTGAGGTCCCCCAGCCACAAGATCACACTGTGAGGACAGAGCACAAAGGTAACAGGGTTTAGGAGGAACTTTAACCTGACCTACCCAGGGTGCTTCTGACAGAAGGCCCCTGAGGCTCAGCCTCTTGGGAGGTGGGTGGGAAAATGGCTCAACTGTTTGGGAAATTTTTTTCTCTTGCCATCCCATTTAATATTATAATGTGATGCTTGCTCAATTATCTTGGTCTAAGTTCATTTTAAACAGCCTTGTGTTCTCCTTAATTATTTTATTCTTGTAGGTTGGAAAGACAGTCTAATAAGATCTAAAAGGAAGAGGATAAAAACATCAAGAATTGAGAGTCATGCCAATCACCCAGAGACCCCAACTCAGATGATGCCACGATGCCACCTCTGCCTCTGTGTATACTGCAGTCCACAAAACACACTCTCAGCCTTTGTTTCTAGAGCAGAGTTCCTCTGAAACAAAGTTCAAACTTTATAGTGGAGCCTGGATTTAACCACCGGTATATCATCGGTTGGCTCTTTCCGCACTGCTGAGTGGAGTGTAGAAGGTGTTTTATTCCTCCTGCTACTTTGGGAAAAAGCTAACTGAAGCCTCTCTGATGATACTGTACATCTCATTAAGTCTAATACTGCTGTATCTGAAGCCAACAACCACGTCATTAGAGAATATGCACAGCAGTACACGCACACCAAAATTAATGCATCCACAAACTAAAAGCAGACAAACTGACACATAAGCTGTGACCTCACAAACTAGGATGCTGCAGGTTCACCAGAATGGAAGAGCCCGGCTGCAAGACACTTCCTGCTAGGCTCCCTGGAGAAGAAAAACCATCCTGTCAGCTTCCAGAACACCAAAAAGCTCCAGACAGTTCCACCTCAGCAGGCAGGACAAGAGGCGTAACTCTGTTTGCTCCTTGGCAGATATCATGGCCCCGGTGGCTTCTTCCTCTTCATAAAAGAAGTAGCAAAGCTTCGACTGTTATCGTAAAGTCTAAAATTCTAAGTCTTTGACTTTAGACAAATAGGAAGTTTTAGAGATAAATGAGATAAAGTAAAGAGAAGAAACAAAAATTAGCACAAGATGCTCTCAGCAGCTGCAACTATAGCTTTGTAAAGTTGGATTAAGAGGAAAAAAAGACCAAGTGGAGGCAAACAAATGTAGTCCAACTCTCAATTATACATGCTCTGGAAAGAACAGATATATAAAATCCTAAAACATACTTCTAAAAACTGGGTTTGAGATGCTCATTCTTTGGTTGTTTTCTTCATAATGTTGGATGTAGGCAGACCCAAATTAAAACAAATCTTAAAAAAAAAAGAAAAGAAAAAAAAAAAGAAATCTTAACCAGAACTCAGACGACAATATAGCTGTCAACTGCTGTTTTGTCATATTCCCTGCTCAAAATAAACTTTTCCCTCTCCTTTCCTTTCTTTTTTCTTTTTTCCTCTCCTTGTCTTTCCCCTTCCCTTCCCTTTCTCTTATCTTCCTGCCTCAGCTTCTTGAGTAGCTGGGATTACAGGCATGCAGCATCACACTCAGCTAATTTTTTAATTTTTTTCAGAGACAGGTTCTTACTATGTTGCCCAGGCTAGTCTTCAATCCCTGGACTCAAGTGATCCCCCCACCTCAGCCACCTAAAATGCTGGGATAACAGGCATGAACTACTACACCCAGCCTCACTTTCTTCTTATTTCTGGCTGCTATATACTATAGCAGCCAGGGACTCTCACACATGTTGATAAAATTAAATACTGAAAAAATAAATGACCGGGCGTGGTGGCTCATGCCTGTAATCCCAGCACTTTGGGAGGCCGAGGTGGGCAGATCACGAGGTCAGGAGTTCAAGATCAGCCTGGCCAACATGGTGAAACCCCACTCTCTACTCAAAATACAAAAATTAGCCGGGCGTGGTGGCACGTACCTGTAGTCTCAGCTACTCAGGAGGTTGAGGCAGGAGAATTGCTTGAACTGGGAGGTGGGGATTGCAATGAGGCAAAGATCGCACCACTGCACTCCAGCCTGGGAGACAGAGCGAGACTCCATCTCAAAAACAAATATATAAATAAATAAACCTTATACTTTCCCAAGAACACATGATACTTGAGAAATACTGTAGACTGTGCTTGCTTCGGCAGCACATATACTAAAATTGAAATGATACAGAGAAGATTAGCATAGTCCCTGAGCAAGGATGACATGCAAATAAAAATTTAAAAATAAAATAAGAAGGAGGGGCACAGTGGCTCACGCCTGTAATCCCAGCACTGTGGGAGGCCAAGGTGGGCAGATCATGAGGTCAGGAGATCGAGACCATCCTGGCTAACACAGTGAAACCCTGACTCTACTAAAAATACAAAAAATTGGCCGGGCGCGGTGGCTCAAGCCTGTAATCCCAGCACTTTGGGAGGCCGAGACGGGTGGATCACGAGGTCAGGAGATTAAGACCATCCTGGCTAACTCGGTGAAACCCCGTCTCTACTAAAAAATACAAAAAACTAGCCAGGCATGGTGGCGGGCGCCTGTAGTCCCAGCTACTCGGGAAGCTGAGGCAGGAGAATGGCGTAAACCCGGGAGGCGAAGCTTGCAGTGAGCTGAGATCCAACCACTGCACTCCAGCCTGGGCGACAGAGCAAGACTCCATTTCAAAAAAAAAAAAAAAAAAAATTAGCAGGCGCCTGTAGTCCCAGCTACTCGGGAGGCTGAGGCAGGAGAATAGCGTGAACTCAGGAGGCGGAGCTTGCAGTGTGCCGAGATCGCACCACTGCACTCCAGCACTCCAGCCTGGGCAACAGAGCGAGACTCCATCTCAAAAAAAAAAAAAAAAAAAAAGTAAGAAAAGAGAAAGACTCTAGAGATCTGCCAGATGGCAAGTTAGGAAACTAAATGTTTTCAAGAGATATAATCCATGTATAACCAAGAGGTGGCAGCTACCACCATTGCGTCAATAGGAAACCACCACCAGGCATCTCCCCATGAAAAGACAGAGCCCACAACTCTATGTACTCATGGTGAACCACATAGGGTGGAAGCTCAGACTCACTCATGCTTGCTGATGGTGAGAGGGGGACGGCTTGGGTCAAGCTGACAAAACTGCATTCGAGAACAAATGTCCTTATAGTCCTGGTTCCTCCTCTCATACTCTTCAATGTGGGCTGCCAAGTGAGAATTCACAACGCAGATGCTGGTGTTGTGGAACTGGAACCTGATCGCCACGCCTCCCTTGTTGCCCTGTGGAAAGGATCCCCAAAGAAATCCAATTCAAACTTAATTGTGTCAGTCATTTAAACCTACAAACTTTCTGGTTGGGCGCAGTGGCTCATGCCTGCAATCCCAGCACTTTGGGAGACTGAGGCGGGTGGATCATGAGGTCAGGAGTTCAAGACCAGCCTGGCCAAGATGGTGAAACCCCATCTCTACTAAAAATACAAAAATTAGCCTGGTGTGGTGGCAGGCGCCTGTCATCCCAGCTACTCGGGAGGCTGAGGCAGAGAACTGGTTGAACCTGGGAGGCAGAGGTTGCAGTGAGCTGAGATGGCGCCACTGCACTCCAGCCTGGGTGACAGAGTGAAACTCTATCTCAAAAACAAACAAACAAACAAAACCCTACAGACTTTCAAAATGTTTTATCTTAATCTTTATAATAATCCTGTGGGATTACCTATATTGTACAGATTTAAAAAAAAAAAAAGAAGGCAGAATGACTAGCCAGTCAGCAGCAAAGCTGAATCCACAACCCAGCTCTCTCGATCTCCTGGCCACACTTGATCCACCCACCTTGGCCTCCCAAAGTGCTGGTATTACAGGTGTAAGCCACCGTGCCTGGCCCCAAAACCTAGCTCCCTTAATCCAGTATTCTTTTCACTAAATCACAGGCAAACCATAGGTGCCCTTTGCCACACAAAGCTAAGTTCTCACAGAAGAACCTAAAAACAGAACTTTAATGGTCTCAATAAGAAAAGGAAATTGCAAACCTACTATCAGCATTCTTTGTTCTTCTGAATGACCCAGCATAGTTTCTGCAAGATACTTCATGGGTGAAATGGGAGGATCAACTGGAGGCTCTAGTGTTGGTGAATATGAGGACAGGCGCAGGCAGTCCACTAAAATACAGTTTCTAAATAGTTTGCTGAGCCCTGCTTGAGGGTATGATTCATCTTGGAATATTGGCACCTTCCAACTGGGACACGTGTAGTGACTGTGTCATCAGAAGTGGTCAATACCTCAGGCGCTAAGGCCCTCAATGTGCCAAACATACCAACCAAGGACTCACCATCCTCCCCATGATTCCTGTCCCCACAGTCTCAGCTTCCACTTCTGAGACATAAGCTGCATGCTCCTGTTTGACATATAACAGCAGCATAATCCCAACCAATCGGATAAGCTTCACCTGGAAAAGAGAGACATGGCATTAAATAGAAACTGCAAACAGGAATAAATACCCCAAAGGAAACATGGTCTGGAAGCTAGCTGAGGGTATTAATGTGCCTCCTTCTCCACACTAGAACACAGGTAATCATCTGTTCAACTCACCAAGCACGCTATGTGCTAACCTACGAGTGCCAAGACCCTGCATCTTTCCCACCCAGTGGCACCCCTTCTGGAAGATCTGGAAATGAAAATTGTGGGATAATTAAGACTGGCTTAAGATAAAGGTCATGGAAAGGGTGAAAAATGATCTTGGGATTTCTCTGCTTAGCCACATAAAATTAAGAAGTCCCTGACTCCTCTTTTACCTTTGCATATTTGGCATCTGGATGAAGACCCTCTGACACAGCTTTGAACCACTCTTCCTCCTTTGGGGTATCGTGAAAGAAAAAAGCTTCCTTACTCAGATCGAGCTCCTGGAACCTATTTTGAGAAGCAACCAGTTAGATAGTAAAGAAAACTAATGTGCAAATGACACATTCTCAGATTGGTTGAGGTGCATAAGCCGTAGCTTTCTAGCTAAACTTCAGGACCCTCAGGAGGAAAAAATAAACAAACACTTAGAGCCAAGGAACTAAATGCCAAGGAACTTTCCAGGTGCTTTTGCAAACAAAAACCCATTTCTTTTTCAGGACCAGCTTATGAAGTAGTTCGAAGTGTCCCTATTTTACCTTTAACCCCTAGTTCACACAAGCACCAAGTGGCAAACTGGAATTCAAACTTTGGTTTATATAAATTACGAATTCTAGTTCTTTTCAATATACCATACAAGCTCTGCTGCCCCTTCCCACCAGTAATGCCCAGTATAGTGATGAGAAGATAAAAAAAAATTAAAAAAAATTAAAAAAAAAAAAAAAAAGACTAACTGATGGGACTTTCTTCAGCTAACCTTCCTTCTCTGGCAAAAGATAGTTTTGCTTTGTAACCAAAAATGTATTGAATGTCCAAGCAATAAAGTTCAGTTCAGGATGCACTGAGTTCAGGATGCAATTCAGGATTTTAACAGAAGATTACATTAAAAATTAAATATTAGCATTCAAATGCCAAGCACTCCACTTTAAGAGTGGCAGACACTTGCTTGCCATGAGGAAGAACATCAAACAGGGAAGCAGCTGTTATCAGGCACCTGTTCGTTTTTCAAATCCTTCACCTGCTGTGAAGACCCATCCTTCAACCACAGCTCTGTGTGCTTGAAGATGGAGAGGACTAGAAGAGAAGCACTCACCCTACGCAATAGACATCTGGGGCCTGGACACCATCGCTCAGCCAGGGCCGGAGGCATTCTTTGGGGGACTGCCCATTTACATTGTATGTTCCCACAAAAAACCTGTCACCAAAGAGAAATAATTAGTGACTCCGAATCACTATGGAGATAACAGGAGAAAGCATTTCATGCTGATTTATGCTGGTTTCAGTCTCTGCGGACTGGCATTTTAAGACAAAAGAAATATCATTTCTAACCTAGACCAGGACTGCAGCACCAAGGGGTGACTTGTGGTCTGTCATGGTATCTGTTGCGTTTGTGATAACAACTTCAAACAGTACAGGCCTACTCTGAACCTTCCTACTTCCTTTAAACAGCCATTACCCAGCCATTATCTGCCTAATTATTTGCCTTGTATATACTACTGAAATGAAAAAATGAAAAGTGCTTTGGTAATTACTTTTGGCAAGAAAGCAACTCCAGTATTCAAAAAACTACTTCACCATAATTGACAGTTTATATCCCTAGAAACAATGTTATTTTATCTTATAGTCCCAATGCAATCATTTTGAAAGATCTAGCAGAATCTCACAACCTTTATTCATTTAGCTTTTAGTAATCTTGCCTAAAAAGATTACCAAACACCAGCTAACTTCATTTTACTAATTTCATTTTAAATGACTTTCTTCAAAGGCCCAGAATAACCAAGGGAGTATAAAACCTTGGAGGGATACATAAGAATCAGGAGGCCAGGTGTGGTGGCTCACACTTATAATCTCAACATTTTGGGAGGCCAAGGCGGGAGGATCACCCGAGCCCAGGAGCTTGAGACCCGTGCGGGCAACATAGTGAGACCCTGTCTCTACAAAAATTAAAAAATTAGCTAGGCGTGGTGGTGCACATGTGTATTACCAGCTACTCCAGCAGCTGAGGTGGAAGGGTTACTTGGGCCCAGGAGGCTGAGGCTGCAGTGGGCTGCAGTGAGCTGTGATGGCACCACTGCATTCCAGCCTGGGCAACTAGGTGAGACCTTGTCTCAAAAAGATAAAACATAAAAAACAAATAAAAGAATCAGGATGGTGCTCCTTCTTCTGTACCCATTTGCATTTGTCTCTGCAAATATTTCTGTAACTATCTGCAAGTCGTGTCACTCCCACTATACCACACCTACCACAGTGCCCACCTAGAAAGGGCACAGAATAAATGCCTGTTAATGAAGAGTGAATGGAATCACTCATTTCAAAAATGAGGGGAGAGATTCTATAGAAGAGTATGCCTCCAAATCCAGGTATAGGGGGAAGTGACCAAATTCCAGAAAGTCAAATGATCATTCTGCTCTGAAAACATCCTAAAACCCAGTTAGCTTACCTGAAGTTCTGGATATAGGTGTAATCCTCTTCTTTTTGTACTAGATGTGATTTCACAATTGTATCTCGCAGTCCAAACTTCTGCATGGATAAAATATGAGCCTTGTCTGACACTGTGATAGTGGAGGAGCGAACCATGCTAGTAATTTCGGACTTGGATTTATTCTGTCTGGAAAAACAAAATATTTTTTTCATATGTGGATGAGTCCCTATTGCAAAATGAATGAATACAAAGCTAAAAGTTCCCATATACAAGCATCTAAGTCACAGAAGACTAAAGGAGGCCAAAGTAAAATTTATTTACTAAAACAACACTATTTCTTTGTGGAATTAAGTAAATTTATATTTTGTTGATTGTATAATATATTGGTCTGGAGATTTTCCTGATAATAGAGTCACAGAATCTCAGACCAGAGGGGCATCTTAAAGATAATCTAATTCCCTCAGTTCTAAATGAGAAAAATGAAACCCAGTGTCATTAATGCCTCACCCACATGAATGGTGGCAGAGTATGGGATTCGAACACGTAATTGACAGGTCGGGTGTGGTGACTCATGCCTGTAATCCCAGCACTTTGGGAGGCCAAGGCAGGTAGATCACTTGAAGCCAGGAGTTCGAGACCAGCCTGGCCAACATAGCAAAATCCCATTGCTACCAAAAATACAAAACTGAGCTGGGTGTGGTGGCGCATGCCTAGGCTGAGACACAGAACTGCTTGAACCTAGGAGGCAGAGGCTCTAGTGACTGGGTGACAAAGTGAGACTCTGTCTCAAAAAAAAGAAAGAAAAAAACTATAAAACCCTCTAGATCCTTTGACTTGATCATTCTATTCTGTACATCTATTCCACAGAAATAATCCAAAATAAAAAGAAAGGCAATGAAAATGTATATTTTATTACTATTTGCGTTGTACTGTATTTATAGTTGTAACTAAAATACTGACACAAGTGTTTTATCTTGACCAGACAGATTCCGGATATGTTCAGTAGGGGGCACTGGAGTACAGACTTCAGATATTTATATAACAACACACCTTGGGAGCAAGTAGGGAAAGAGTAAATAAAACAGGAAAAAAGTCACTTCAGAGTCAGGAAACACCTAAAAGAATGAAAGAGTGAAATCAAACGTTTCTAATCTACATTTTCAAAGAAGCGCTAGACTGCCAGTTTCAAATTCCAGATTGGCCACTTGCTAATTCTGGGACCTTGGATGAGTTATGTAACTTCTCATCACCTGAGTTTCCTTAATTGTAAAACAGAAAAAAGTACTTACCTCTTAGGCTAAAATAAGATAGTCCAAATAAGAGCAGGGTGCCTGGCAGTAAGTGCAAATAAACGTCAGGTTTTTTGGTTTTCTTTTTTTTGTTTTTTTTTTGAGACAGAGTCTCGCTCTGTCGCCCAGGCTGGAGTGCAGTGGCCGGATCTCAGCTCACTGCAAGCTCCGCCTCCCGGATTCACGCCATTCTCCTGCCTCAGCCTCCTGAGTAGCTGGGACCACAGGCACCCGTCACCTTGCCCGGCTAGTTTTTTGTATTTTTTAGTAGAGACGGGGTTTCACCATGTTAGCCAGGATGGTCTTGATCTCCTGACCTTGTGATCCGCCCATCTCGGCCACCCAAAGTGCTGGGATTACAGGCTTGAGCCACCGCGCTCAGCCAAATGTCAGGTATTATTAAGAACATTTCCATCCAGGCATGATGGCTCACGCCTGTAATCCCAGCACTTTGGGAGGCCAAGACGAGAGGATCAGATGAGGCCACGAGTTTGAGACCAGCCTGACCAACATGGAGAAACCCCATCTCTAATAAAAATACAAAATTAGCTGGGCTTGGTGGCAGATGCCTGTAATTCCAGCTACTCAAGAAGGCTGAGGCAGGAGAATCACTTGAACCCAGGAGGTGGAGGTTGCAGTGAGCCGAGATCACGCCACTGAACTCCAGCCTGGGCAACAAGAGTGAATCTCTCTCAAAAACAAACAAACAAACAAACAAACAAACAAAAACATTTCCTAGGCCAGCTACCCTGGGACAAGTTACATTATGCCCAAAATGGTCTCAGTACTATGAGGAGAACCTCAGTCCTACAAGGGACAAATGAAGGGAGAGTTGCATTACCTTGGTTGCAAGCTTTCTGGTTTATCTTGACCCCTGGAGCTTTGGTCCACAGGCAGTCCCTTCCCATTTGGCCTCAAACCATCAAAGTTAGAACCACCTAAAGGGAAGGGGAAGAAATTAAAATATACATACATAGGCTGGACACTGTGGCTCATGCCTGAAATCCCAGCACTTTAGGAGACCAAGGCAGGTGGATCACCTGAGGTAAGGAGTTCGAGACCAGCCTGACCAACATGGAGAAACACCATCTCTACTAAAAATACAAAATTAGCCAGGCATGGTGGTGCGTGACTGTAATCCCAGCTACTCAGGAGGCTGAGGCAGGAGAATTGCTTGAATTCGGGAGGTGGAGGTTTCAGTGAGCCAAGATGGCACCACTGCACTCCAGCCTGGGCAACAAGAGCGAAACTCCATCTCAAATAAATAAACAAATCATACATATGCTTTAATATACAGAAAACAGCTTCAGAAATTGTAGTCTAGGAATTATTGGTAGTCCAGATATTGCTTGAAAAGGCCTATGCTGATGTCTGGGTGAAGTCCCACAGACCATACACAGAAGAAAAAAGTATCTCATTCAGGTGTCTCTACTGCTGAAAACGTACCTATTCCAGCTAGTCTAACTCCCTTTTCTTGGATACAGGGTACATTAAGGAAAGCATAAAACTACGAAATCTGAAAACGTACCTAAGTTTTATCACCTGCTTTACTATTTATTACCTCCTGACTTTGGAAAAGCCATCTAACCTCTCTCAATCTCAGTAATTTGACCTGTCCTGCTTTCTTCACAGGTTTACTGTAGGGTCAACTGAGTTGACATATGAGTAGGGACTTTAAAAGCTATACAACATATTATAAAACATAACATAGTGATTTCCACTCCAAAGAGGAGAAAGGCAAGGGTTAGAGATTAAAACTGGAAATAGTCTAAGAGCTCTAGAAAATGAGAAGCGCTTGTCATTGTTGACAAATTGCCGTGAAAACCAGAGCCCAAGGGCCCAATCCAGAAATATTCTGGGAAAGTCATTAAACCAAGATAAACCTGGAAAGGAAAATTAATCTGCCAATAGCTTCTCTGCTCTTTAAAAGCCAGATCTCTTGTCAACAGGGAACAACATGAAGAGGTCACAGAGATGTGATTTTAAAATCCATGTTACGGGAAGGAGCTCTGGAGGAATGAAACACCACTGAAGAATTTTGCTCTGCGGACTATTACTAAAATGGATTTCTCAACCATGCATTCACATGAACCAGAAAAAACAAACTTTTGAAAAAAGAAAGCATAACCATTTGAACATGAAAATAATTATACTTCAATGCCTCCAATCAATCACCAAATGCTATAGACTGAATATTTATACCCCTGCCTAAAGTCATGTTGAAATCCTAACTCCCGGCCGGGCGCGGTGGCTCAAGCCTGTAAACCCAGCACTTTGGGAGGCCGAGATGGGCGGATCACGAGGTCAGGAGATCGAGACCATCCTGGCTAACACAGTGAAACCCCGTCTCTACTAAAAAATATAAAAAACTAGCCGGGCGAGGTGGGGGGCACCTGTAGTCCCAGCTACTCAGGAGGCTGAGGCAGGAGAATGGCGTGAACCCGGGAGGTGGAGCTTGCGTGAGCTGAGATCCAGCCACTGCACTCCAGCCTGGGCGACAGATCGAGACTCCATCTCAAAAAAAAAAAAAAAAAAAAAAAAAGAAATCCTAACTCCCAAGGTAACGTAGTAGGAGGCAGGACCTTTAGGAGGTGTGAGGTGTTTAGGTCACAAGGGTGGAGCCCTCATGATTGGGATTAGTGCCCTTATAAGGGTTCAGAAGATCAGAGTTCCCCTTTTGCTATGTGAGAACGCAGTGAAAAGACAGCTGCCACTAAGCCAGAAAGCAGGCCCTCACCAGACATTGAATCTGCCAGCACCTTGATCTTCAACTTCTCAGCCTCCAAAACTGTGAAAAATAAATCTCTGATCTCTGCTTTTGTTTTGTGGGGTTTTTTCTGTATTTTTTTTTTTATTATTTCTTTTTCTTTTTCTTTTTTTTCTTTTTGAGACAGGGTCTCCACGCTAGAGTACAGCAGCCTGATCATGGTCCACTATAGCCTCCACCTCCAGGGCTCATGCGATCCTCCCACCTCAGCCTCTCTGTTATCTGGGTTTAACAGGCACACACCACCATGCCCAGCTAACTTTTTGTATTTTTTTGTAGTGATGGAGTTTTGCCATGTTTCCCAGGCTGGTCTCGAACTCTTGGGCTCAAATGATCCTCCCGCCTCAGCCTCTCAAAGTGCTGGGATTACAGGTGCGAGCCACCACACCCAGCCAAATCTGTTGTTTAGAAACCACTCAGTCTATGGTATTTTGTTATAACAGCCTATAGACTAAGGTTAAACTAAGACAGCAAAGCCTTTCAATTGTGCTTCTTAAATGCCTCTCAAACCAATATATTCCTATCCCCAGGGTCACTGTGCTAGTCTAGGTTACCAGCATCTCCCTTGAATGACTATAAAAGCCTCAACTAGTTTCTCTGCCTCTTTTCTCACCCCACCCTCTCCAACCCAATCTCTACACTGTTGCCAGAGGATTCTTTTTAAAAAGTAAATCGGATCACATCACTTTAAATCTTTTAAAAGCTTCATACTGGATAAACCCAAATCCCTACATACAATTGCCAAGGCTCTTCCCAGTTTGGATCCTACCCACTTGTCTAGCTCCAATACTCACCACAGTCCTTCAGCCCCTACCTCCTTTATGCCATGTCGTAAGCATATTAAGGTTACTGCAGCTATACAAAGATCCCATCAGAAATCAACTTCCCTCTTCTTCACTCTGCTTTATAAGGCTAACACCTACCCATCCTATCCTGTGCCAGGGATCAGCAAACTTTTTCTGTAAAGGGCCACAGAGTAAATATCCTAGGCTTTGCAGGTCATACAGTCTCTTGCAACTGTTCAACTCTGCTGCTATAGTGCAAAAGCAGCTGTGAGTGTGGCTGCATTCTAATGAAATGTTATTTATAGACGCTGAAATTCGAATATCATACAATTTTCACATATCACAAAGCATTATTCTCTTGAATCTTTTCAAATATTTAAAAATGCAAAAAAATCATTCTTAGCTCATGAGCTAAAAGCAGATGGCAGGCTGGATTTGGCCTGTAGGCTGCACTTCACCAACTCCTGCTATAGGCCATATCTTAGAGGTCATTTCCTCCAAGAAGACTTCTCTCACCTCTCCTAGGCTGGTCAGATGCCCTGACATTGGTGTTTCCATAGCTCCCTGTACTCCCCATCAGTCTTGATAGTTGTGTATTATAGGTGTTTTTTCTTCCCAGTTAGACTGTAAGCTTACTGAGGACTAGACTTTGTCTGATTTATGCATCACTGTAGCCCCATCATTCAGCATACTGGTAACCCAGCACATTATAGGCAGTGCAGTCACACAATTCAATATTAAACGCACAATAAACCTGAATTCCTATGTGTGAATATGTTTTTTTGTTTGTTTGTTTTTTGAGACAGGGTCTCACTCTGTTGCCCAGGCTGGAGTGCAGTGGCGCAAGCTTGGCTCACTGCAACCTCTGCCTCCCAGGTTCAAGCTATTCTCTTGCCTCAGCCTCCCAAGTAGCTGGGATTACAAACGCACAGCACCACACTCAGGTAGTTTTTGTATTTTTGGTAGAGATGGGTTTCGCCATGTTGGCCAGGCTGGTCTCAAACTCCTGACCTCAGGTGATCCACCCACCTCGGTCTCCCAGTGCTGGGATTATGGGCGTGAGTCACTATACCCGGCCCTTTTGTGCCTTATATATTTAAATACATAACATCCAAGTTCAAGTCTGTAGCATTCTTTTGGAATGTTTGAGGTAATCTTCCCATGGTCTTCAAAATAAAACAAAAATAAGAAAGGAGAACTAGAATGGGTTATGTCTAGAGTTCTACTACCCCATAGTTACTTAATAATTATTTCTGGAAATGAAATCACCAGCTGGATTCTACTTCTCTTTCTTTACTCTCACTGAGCTTAGAGAGCTGAGCTTAGAGAGTTAACTAACTCAAATGTTAGTAATGGTGTACTGGGACATCTGTTAGAATGACTGAAATTTTAAAAAAAGAAAACCAGCCGGGCACAGTGGCTCACACCTGTAATCCCAGCACTTTGGGAGGCCGACGCGGGAGGATCACAAGGTCAGGAGATCGACACCATCCTGGGTAACAATGGTGAAACCCCATCTCTACTAAAAACACACACAAAAATTAGCCGGGCATGGTGGCAGACGCCTGTAGTCCCAGTTACTTGGGAGGCTGAGACAGGAGAATGGTGTGAACCCAGGAGGCGGAGCTTGCAGTGAGCCGAGATTGCGCCACTGCACTCCAGCCTGGGCGACAGGGTGAAACTCTGTCTCAAAAAAGAAAAGAAAAAAAAAAAGAAAGAAAGAAAACCAGCTGACAATTCCAATTGCTGACAAGGATGCAAAGGAGCAGTGACTCTCATCCATTGATAGTAGGCATGGAAAATCATAGAGCCACTTTGGAAGACAGTTTGGCAGTTTCTTAAAAAGTTAAACAGTCTTACCATATGATCTACCCATCACACTCCTAGGTATTTACTGATATGAAAACATGCTGGACACTATGACTTGTGCCTATAGTCCCAGATATTTGGGAGGCTAAGGCAGGAGGACTGCTTGAGCCCAGGAGTTTGAGACCAGCTTGGACAATAGAGACCCCCATCTCTTAAAAAATAATAAAATAAAATAAAATAAAATTTAAATTTAAATTAAATTAAATTAAATTAAATTAAAAGTCGTGGCACATGCCCATAGTCCTAGCTACCCGGGAGGCTGGGGAGGGATGATTACTTGAGCCCAGGAGTTCAAGGCTGCAGTGAGGTGTGATCTTGTCACTGCACTCCAGCCTGGGTGACAGAGGGAGACCCCACCTCTAAAAAAACATGGCAAGAAAAATAATTTTTGTACACATAAAAACCTGCACAGAAATATTTATAGCAGCATTATTTATAATCACCAAAAACTGGAAGCAACCAATATGTATTTAAATAGGTTAATAAACTGTGATACATCCATATAATAAAATATTCA